CGCAAAACCGCAAGTAACTGATGATTTAGTTAACTTAAGGGATGATGATGTCACGGCTGATGACCAAGGGAACAAGTTTGCGCTCGCCCTCTTTGCAGGTCCACCGGATAGTAACGGAAAATGGGAAGCCTTCTCCTCGAATGGAGTCACTTCTGCTTGGCAGAATCCTGCGGCAGAGCCCGGGAAAGCGGATTGGGAATTGGCATTGGTTGAAACTGCAAGTAACTTAGAGAAACAGAAAGCCGCTTTGGGTGGCGGATTTGATTCGTTGTTACTCAACGGTATGTATGATCAAGGAATGGTCAGACAACATGTGAGCACCTCGCAATTGACAGGTGGCAGTGCGAGCAGCGTAGCTTTACCCTTACCGGGTAGAACCAACAATCAAGTATTGGCCTTACCTGCACCAGATGGCACCGTAGAGAAAGTGAACCAAGACCCATTCGCAGCTTCACTGACCATTCCTCCACCGTCGTACGTGCAAATGGCTGAGATGGAGAAGAAGCAGTATCTGTTGAGTCAAGAGCAGCAGCTATGGCAGCAATACCAGCGTGAAGGGATGAGAGGTCAAGCCAGTTTGGCGAAGATGAACACCGGTCCAGGTCCAGCTGGAATGCCTTACGGAATGCCACCTGTAAACGGGATGGGACCGCCACCAACGGGGTATTACTACAACAACCCTTACTGATTCATTATTATTGTTTTTGCTCTCCCTCTTATATCTGTAGATGACTCGTCTTCCACCTTCGATCTCAGTGTGTTTTTATTGTATCCTTGGATTGTCGTAAAACGATATTAATCTCCCAAGTTGTGAACCTTTTGTCTCTGCTCGAGTTTGATTTATTATATAGTTTATGTACACTTTCTTGATTCCCTTTGTATAACACATTTTGATATCGCCGTTGATGTTTTCACTGTTTAAAACTTATGTACTTGAGAGAACACTTTTGTCGGATTTGAGAGTATTATAGTTCTACTTGCAAAGTCTCATACTTGGGTTGTTTCACCTAAACAAAATGCTTACATCGCCTGCTCCGGTAAAGTTTGAAGCCATTGGTTCATTTGTAATTATTAGGTGAAACAGATTTGTCGCTTTCTTACTTTACTTTCTAGTATTATTCTAGGTGATATATATTCATTATTACTATAAATTTATTCTTCACTCTATAGTTGTGATTGGAAGATGAAAATACGAGAGATGTATAAGGAAGTTCTATGTTAGGACAAAAAAGTAGGTGTGATCCGATGGATTAATGTTATGTATATTGACAGCTGGAATGGGCCCCTCCACTACCCACACAAATATGCACTCTAAATTATTTGTTTTTGGAGAATAAGCAATTTCGTCATGCACAAATTCATGTAAAGGCTGTCACCAGGTCTTCTAGAAAATCTTTTTGATAAATTAATAAATTTCCACCGTCTATTTTGGTACGAATAGGTGTAATATCCAGTCCGAAAATTGTATTTCCATCTGAGTGTTTGTCTTGTACAGTTATATGTCAATTTATTGTCATAAATTTATAAATCATAGGAAAATGAGTTTTCTTTCACATATTTGGAGTTTATAAAATCCGGACAACGACTAGGATAAATTTCTGCTGACTATCCCACCATTTCACCCATGTCATCATCTTTAGGTCATTTCTGATCTTGTTATCTAATTGCATGTCTTAGTTATGAGTGAGTTTACCCATGGACTTCTCGATCTTGTTATCTAATTGAATCTCTCTGGCTTCTCGACGAACACGGATTCACATAGACTCGTCAATCTCCTTTGATCGAACAAATTTCATTTAGAGTTCTACGAAATTCTAAAAGATTTCCTTAGAATTGCTGGCGAGATCAAAATCTCCTTTTGTTTCACTCCTAGATCAAAGAATGAACAAGCCGACGCTTTAGCAAAAGCAGCCTTGAATATTTGTACCACTTGACCGGTTTAACCGGGTTTGAATGAAATCAGTATTTTAGATCCAAAAAAAAAAAAATTTATGAGTGAGTATGAATATACAATAAGATTTCCATTACATTTTTAAATTTTTTTTATCTAATATTAAACCTCATCGTTTTCTACCACTCATTCTCATTATTGATATCACATATTTTTATTCGAGAATTCATGCATGCATTTTATTCTCTCTCTTAATTTTTGTATTCGAATTAAGCTACCACAATTAAACTACAACTTTGATACCATGTGTGTACTAGGGCTTTTTAGGTTTGGCATTACACAAACACATTTACGCAAAGTCAGGAGCTACACCCACCGGATGTTTTATTGCACCTCCCACATATATTGTTAGGCCTTATCTTTGACCTCGTGCAAGTTTTCAAGTAACAATTGCATTGTAAACCGTACCAAATATACTTTATTTTAAACAAGCAATAAGGCAATGGCAATGCATCGATCACACAACCATAGGGTTCACAATCATTCATGTTACTCCGTTTTAGATCCTAAGACAGTTATTATAGGTTATCAATCAACAGCCGAAACATTTCACATAGTGTAACTAGTCGCGTTTTGTATGGTTGGTGTAAGGTAGATATAGGTATCCAAATATGCTACATGTCACAAAATATGTGGTTATACGGTGACCTCCACTGCAAAACAAGCATTATAAGACAATTATTTAGCTTTGGTCATGACACAAATATAATGGATCGAGGATAACTCAATTTGGTATATGAACAACCCTGACTCTTTATCCTAATAAGAGCTAACTCGAGATCTCAGACCAAAGTGGAGTTTGCTCGATCAAAACTTATCCTAAGTCTATATTCGATATCTAATTGAAAATTGGTGAACAACACTTGAGTTTAATCAAGACAAATCCAATTTGGTTCACGAATTCCTCTATTGGATAGTCGTTACCAAGCAAACAACCGAATCATCGAAAGTCAAATTCTGTCAAATCAAACTTTCACCCTAGCTTTTTTTTTTGCTGTTTAACAAGGTTTGGTCGAGTAACAATCACTTATTCCAACCCATCTTCATTTAGTACATAGTATACCTATTCAAGTAGATTCCTAGCCGACCAAGACAAACAAACATCGACCCAATGGATACTTTTCTTGAATCATAGTTCTTCAATCACCCTAATTACTCGACGTTTTACCAGGAATGCACATCCCTACTTTCAGTGGCTTGATCCATTTTATAAAAGTCAAAAGTACTCTGTTCGAGAACCATAACCGGTTACAACTAAAATGTTTATTTTTTCCCAACTACTGGACTTAGCCAATGAGGAGTATAATTGTCAAAAACAACTTGATAAAATAGAGAAAGATGACGCATCTTCTGTAATGGAATGTTGCCATGTCACAAAGAGAATCGGAGAGTTAAACCCAACCTAATTCACAGTTGAGAGAATCAGCATTCCAAGCTGCATCCATGTCAGAGGTAGCATGGTGCTTCAACAGGCTGAACTAAGTTCTGGTTTGGGGATGGAATCCACTGGATTAACATCTGAATATTTATAATGAAGAACACCAAACCTCACTTTGCTCTGTTCTTCCTTTTTTATACTCGAAGCATGGGACCAAAAGTAACCTTGTTTGGATTTTAGTTACCCAAGCCAAGACAAATGCAAACTTTTTCTGGAACACATTGTCTCAAAAATAATGATTATAACTAAACATATGCACAAATTA